AATGAAGCTTGTCTATTATCCATTTTCTCAGTCGAAAATGAATAATTTAGCATAATTTGGGTGGAGTATCTTAACTTTAAGTAAAGTTAGACATTATTTTAGTGGTTCCTTGTATTTATTTATTTTTTCAAAAGATTTTTGAAGTTAAAATATGACATTAGATATTATAAAAAGAATACTAAAATAACCGCCCACCTTTTTGCAATTTTCTAAGCTCCAGGGGCTGTTGATAGGGATTATAAGGTATTTAGTTTTCTATATTATTTTGTATTAGGGTAAATGTAACATTAAGGACAGATGATACAAACAAAAAATGGATGCCTGGATTGATGTATATTTTTGGCCTAAGGATCACTTCGTTATAAATAGGGATCTGACCTATAGGACCGGGCTTGGTTTTTTTTCTCTACAAAAAGCTTGTCGATTTCCGTTCCAGTAAATGACATTAGGCTGAATACATATTATACAGTTATTGACTGGGTATGAGGGCAACATATGATTTGTTGGACCTGAAGGTGAAAATGTTGCCCGAGGCCGCAGGCCAAGGGCAACATTTTCATCTTTAGGTCCAACAAATCATATGTTGCCCGAATCCCAGTCTATAACTGTTTTGTTATACCCTTCACTGCTCACTTAAGATTGATCAATTTTATCTTCAGTAGATATATAAAACATCAAGCTGAGGAAGAACAAAATCAATTATAAATCTATTATATCACAAAAATTATTTATCACAATACATACTCTTCCCTTCTACCTTACCTTACTGTTAGCAACAACTCTTAATAGCTCTTATCTTCGGCTATTTTCGCGTCGCCGATATTGAACGATGATTATTAATTGTGACGTAACAGACGAGTGACGTTGCGGTCTAACAATTCTTATGTAAGACCGGTCAATAGTGAAATTGTTAGACCGATGTAATAAACATTTCTTTTGTTGGACTTTTTATTAGTAATAAATATATAGAAGGATATTTATAAGGGTATAACAAAACAATTTGTTTTACCTAAATCTTTATGTCAGTGAGTAGAGGTAGGAGGAACCCTTTCATTAATTTTCTGAGCTTGTTATATCCAAGTGTAATAAATAATATTTGTCTTTACTTCTTTTGTGCATAAAGGTAATGTCTACTGTCTCTGAAATTCTATTCTTAATGTCTAGGCTATTTATCCGTGGATATAATAAAACATGTCAATAATGTGTGCAAATTATATAGGCCTAAATGAAATCCCAGGGAGTGCATTTACTGAAATATGTAGCTAAAATCAATGTGATTAAATTCTAAGAAATATATACAATTGAAAATCATTGCAGCTCAATGCTGCCATGAATACCTGTACGGAGTAACACATAGTGAGTTATTCTTGTCCTCGGAGAAAGTGCTGAGGTTCGTTCCGCCTGACTGACAACTGTACATTGGATTGTTACGATTTGATATCTCTTTAGTCTTATATCAAGAATGTGCATGCATAAAGAATAGATAATTGAAGGAAAAATACACAGGTCTATATAAAAAATTAAAATAGTCTATGAGAAGACGAAATTTAAAACTTTAAAAAGTGTTGTACCAGGTGGATTCTAACCCCGGACTTTAAAAAGAAAGTATACAAGGTGTAAAAAAGCCAGCGTATATATCAGCTGAGCTAGTCTGACTATAAGATTGATCTGCATAAATTTAAAGCAGATTATGAAAATCAGGTTTCCTTATTTTTTGTAGGTTTTTTGTGAATTTCGACCTCAGGGCAGGGTTGCCCCTAAAAAATCGTATCTTAAATTATTCCTTACATCCTAAACTATCAAAATACCACAATATTTTTTAGGGGCAGGCCTGCCCTGAAGGACTTCAAGGCCAAAATTCATGCAAAAATCAACGCTTTAACCGACAAAATGGTGTTTCGGTCAACTTTGGAGGTTTATTGTAAAGTTGTAATTAATAAATTTTAGGTATAACATACAAATTTGAAAAATTTAGACATATATTCGATAGAAAACAACAAATAAAGATTGATTTTTAAATGTCACTTTTTCCGGAAAATTTTTCTCTCCTATAGGTCAATTCTTTTGTTAAAGCGAATACATCCTTTCATTGAATCTGATGGAACTAATAAATTTCTATAATATTAAGAAATTGTAAACCTTCTATTACGTAAAAAATCTGCCTCTCTGAAAACCATCCTTATTTATCTAAAAAAAAATATTTTTCACTTCAAATCCCATTTTAGTCAAAAATTGATAAATGATTCAAAAATTAAAAACTACGCTGAGAAACCTATTCATTTTACTTATTAAACCATGACTTAAGTTGTTATTTTCAATTTTGTGGGGAAAAGTTCGTATCATCTGTCCTTAAATAGATCGCCTCTTGGGGCAGTGTTTTTTGTACAAGAAAATTTTATATACGTTATTTTTCCACAAGTGCAAAGTTGACTTTCATTCATGTTATACAGGAAAATATTAGTCAAAATACAATTGTTTCTCAATCTAGTATCAAATACATTCCAATAATAATCACTAAAAAAGATGGAGTACATGTACCTGTGTTTGCTAACTTGAGCCGAAGGTTCTGATTGAAATTTTTCCGTCGTTGGCGTTGTCGTAAACTTTTTCACATTTTTTTTTTATGTTCTCGAGTACTACTGGGCCAGTTTTGAAAAAAAAATGGTACAAAATATCATTATGTAAAGGGGATTCACGTTGATTCAAATGAGGGACCATTTCCTTTTCCAAGGAAAGATAATTACAAATCAGTGAAAAATTGTTTAAATTCATATGAAAGCTCTCTCGGGTGATGTAGATTAAATTTTGTTCACATCATCACTCCCGAAGGTAATGTGGGGCCATAATGGAAGATCAAAATTCACTTAAGAATATAAAGAAAACATCTTTAAATTTTTTTCTCAAGAAAAGTAAAGCTATGATTGTTCATATTTATACTGGTCCTGTACCAGTAGCCGTCTAAAAATGGAGGTTTTTCTTTCATTGCTTCACTATTTGACACAATTTGGAGATAAAACTTGGCATATATAAAGCTTTACTCTTTCTCTATCAGAATATATAATTTTTTTTGCTAGTCCTACTCATGAAACTTTTGTTTTCATACCGTTAAAGAGGGGTAGGGTAGGACGCCATTTTCCCGTATGCACTGTACCAGTTACCGTCTACGTCATTTCTAATGATTGTGGGGCCTCCTGCAGGGGAATTATATTCGCACTCATAGGTTTAACATTTTGTCTGAGGCAAATCTTTTTATGGCATAAGTATATCTTAATGATACTACACAGTTTTGTTGCCCTTGACATTAAGATGGGTCAAGACCTTGACCTAGGTCATACCTTCAAGGTCAAGGTCATAATGCACTTAGGTAATAAAATTTTATCTGGGTCATAACTTTTTACTGCATGGACAGTTTTTGATAATATTTCACAGTGTTGTTGTCTATCACCAAAGGATAAGTCATGACCTTGACCAAAGGTCATATCTTCAAGGTCAAGGTCATACTGTACCTAGGTGCTGAAATTTAGCACTGGTCATAACTTTTTACTGCATGGACAGTTTTTGATAATATTTCACAGTGTTGTTGTCTATCACCTAAGGATAAGTCATGACCTTGACCGAAGGTCATATCTTCAAGGTCAAGGTCATACTTTACCTAGGTGCTGAAATTTAGCACTGTCCATAACTTTTTACTGCATGAACAGTTTTTGATAATATTTCACAGTGTTGTTGTCTATCACCTAAGGATAAGTCATGACCTTGACCGAAGGTCATATCTTCAAGGTCAAGGTCATACTGTACCTAGGTGCTGAAATTTAGCTGAAATTTTACTGCATGGACAGTTTTTGATAATATTTCACAGTGTTGTTGTCTATCACCTAAGGATAAGTCATGACCTTGACCGAAGGTCATATCTTCAAGGTCAGGGTCATACTGTACCTAGGTGCTGAAATTTAGCACTGGTCATAACTTTTTTACTGCATGGACAGTTTTTGATAATATTTCACAGTGTTGTTGCAGATCATCCACGTCCCACAGCGGGATTCGCAAGAATCATCAGATCTTTGCGCCCGCCGCTCTAACCATTGTGCCATGCCAGCGGCTCTACTACTGCATGAATAGATTTTGATAATGATTCATATGATTGTTGTCATCACTCATGACCCAAGGATAAGTCATAATTCCATGGTTAAATTCATACTGTATTTTCCTTTGTCGTTGATATGAAATGTCATTGCATTTTATTCCTTTTAACATAGCAAATGATGCTCTATAATATGACACACCGATCAGTCTTTTCTCATCACAGTCTTTGCTCATCACAGTCTTTTCTCATCACAGTCTTTGCTCACCACCGCCAATATCTATTATAATCATATGTATATAAATACATATCATAGTTCTACTCTTCAGATAAAGACAAACACTCATCGCACATGTACTCCTCATTCTCAACCAATCCAATATTTGAACAGCTCCTGTACACCCATCCATCACATAGATTACATTGCACCCATTCAACAAAATCATTCTCCGTCTCTGCAACCGGATCAATCCCATTACACACTAAGCATACATCACTAGTTTTGCTTTGTTTTCTCATTCTTTTCCTTTCTCTGATAACCCTTTTCCTTTCCTTGTCTCTCTCTGCTTCTTTTTTCTTTTTTACCCTTTCTGTCTTCTTTTTTTCAGCCATCAATCGTTTCTCTTCCGAAATTCTCTCTTTCCCTTTTCTTTTCTTAATTCTCTCAATCTTCCTGTTTTCTTTATCCTCTTTAGTCTTTTTTACAGCTTCTTCCTTTTCTTCCATTTGAAGTATGATAGCCTCTCCTTCAAATATGAAATATTATTTGTTATTCTATTTTTATTACCGGGAGCAGGAGGTCAGCAGACCTCTCCCATAAATGGGCATATTTTAGGGGCATATTGCATGCATTTGAAATTAGAATACTTAAGATTTTGAGGGAAATTTAAGTGAAAACAGAAAAAAAATACATTACCAGTTAGTTTGCTCTTTTTAGTTGCTGACTTTTCATAGGAGGGACCAAAATTGCCCCAAGTTTTTCAGGAATCAATCCACTTCGTACAAATGGATTTGTCGATGAAGCAATGGAGCATACGTCCACGTCCATTGATTCCCCACACTTGTCACACACAATCTGTATGCTGCGTGAATCTGTTTGATATTAACAAAGAATTGTTTACAGATGTTTAGTGGGAAATTATAGTAAGTAGGTGAATAAGCTACTAGATTGTATGTTTAATACAGATGAATGTACATGCATGCATCACCTGAATTAGAGCTAGTAGTTTCTTTATTTTTCTCTGAGGCGTCTGTCTGTGATTGTATTTGTGTTTTATCAACAGCACCTATGTCAACTGGATACATTCCAGGCTTTCGGAAAGCAGCCTTTACCCGTGCCGGAGAGCATACACTATCAATGGCTGTGCTGAAATGATGATTATTGCAACAGTTTTTAGAGAACTATTTAATTGACGCTTGATACCTAGTTATTTTATTGCAATTAACTAAGAATTAATCTATATATCCTACCAAGTTTATGAGATTGATAACTGCTCGTTATTTCACCCGACCAGTTGCACCAATTCCCTCTTAGTCATTGGACATAAAAGGAAATATTTAGAGTTCAAAATGATTTCATTAAGATATGTACCTTAAAAGGGCGGGGAACTTAGCTTTCCCTATCTGGACATTACTGCTAAGGTAGCCTAACACAGTAGCCAGAGACGCCAACTTCTCCTTCAAAGGACCACATATGTCCACGTCTAATGGCTGAAGAATATGTGTGGTATGGGGAGGAAGACCGATGATATGAATATCATGAGAAATCGACAGCTTCAACAAAGACAGCGAGATGTGCGAATCGTGGTTATCGAAGGTTAATAGAACTGGCCTCCTGCTACCGCAAAATGGAATGAAAATTTTCTCAAACCACAATTCGAACAACTCGCTGTCCATGTATCCACTGTCAGACGACCCATATAACCAGTTTGCGGGTACACCCTCCCTGAAGTTTCTATGAGGTAACGATCCTTCAAAGATGAGATATGTAGGAAGGACCCTACCATCTCCTGCTACACATATCAAGAACTTTAACGAAGCAAATTTTCTGTCTGACCTAACAAATGAAAATTTTGATAGCCTTACAGAATTACACGATCCTAATGACATTCTTGATAAATTCTATATAATGTTTAATAACGTCCTTGACAAACATGCTAAAATAAAATGTAAGAGAGTTAAGACTGAAACTAGACCAAAGTGGCTAACTAAAGAAATAAATGAAGCTAGACATTTTCGAGATTTTTATCACCATAAAGGGGATTATGAAAATTTCCGAATATGGAGAAATAAAGTTGTACTCCTGATTGACAATGCAAAAGCTTTGTATTACAAATCAGCCATTGAAGACAGTTCAAATCCAAAAGAGATGTGGGGATATTTAAATCAATTGGCGTCTAATACTAAAACTTTTACTCCTTCCCATATCACTCATAATGACTCAGAAACTAACAGTTCACAAGAAATTGCTAATATTTTTAATCAACACTTTACAGGAATCTCAAGTAAACTTTTAAATAATTTACCAAACTGCAAATTCAATCCAGAATTGTTAAGACAATTCACAAAATCTAAACTTGGTGATAACTTTTTTAGCCTTACACCAATCAGTGAAACAGAAGTATTTGATTCGTTGAACGGACTTGATGTCAATAAATCTGCAGGCATTGACTTCATAGGACCTCGTCTCCTAAAACTAGCAGCAAGTATCATTAATAAATCAGTCACTCATTTAATCAATGCTAGTATCAGTAGTGGTAGTTTTCCATCAAAGTTGAAACAAGCAAAAGTCACCCCTGTATATAAAAAGGGCAACAAAGCAGACCCCAGCAACTACCGTCCCATTTCTATACTTCCAACACTATCCAAACTAATTGAAAAGCACATAGCTAACCAAATGCGAGATTTTACCTCCACTTTTGACCTTATAACAAAATCTCAATCTGGGTTCAGAGAATTTCACTCTTGTCAAACAGCACTTACTAAATTAACAGATGCTTGGTTGCATGCTATGGACGAAGGTAACCTCATAGGTATAACATTTTTGGATTTCAGCAAAGCTTTTGATTTAGTGAGTCATGATATTCTTATAGAAAAATTAAAGAACTACAACTTTGATGAATTGTCAATTAAATGGTTTCACTCATATCTAAATAACAGGACACAGTGTGTAAAAATTGGTACAACTTCTTCTGATGTCTTATCTGTCACAGCAGGAGTGCCACAAGGATCAATATTAGGCCCCCTTTTGTTTTTGTTGTATATCAATGACCTTCCCTTACACGTAAGTCATGCAAATATCGATATGTTTGCTGATGACGCAACTCTGCATATTTATGAAAATAATATATTTAGTATTGAAACGGCCCTAAATTCTGATTTAGAAAATATTGAAAAATGGTGCTTAGAAAATCAAATGGCTCTTAATATTGACAAAACACAATGTATGCTGATGGGTACTAAACAAAGGAAATCGAAATTAAATAATCCAAATCTCAGTTTACATGTCTCTGGCAAACACCTTAATAATGTTGAAGCAGAAAAACTACTTGGGGTTCATATAGATCAAACGCTAAATTTTCATGACCATGTAGACTCGGTCTGCAAATCTTTAACATACAAATTATTTACTTTGCGGAAAATCAAGAAATTTCTTCCTTTGAGAACTAGAAAACTGTTTTACAATGCCTTTATCCTACCTTCTATTAATTATTGTCTGACTATCTGGGGTAATGCACCACATAGTTACATGGAGAGAATCCATAAGCTTCAAAAACGGGCCGCTAGAATTATACTTGATGCTGCCCCTGATGCTCCTTCTAAGACATTATTTGAAAAATTAGGGTGGCTATCTGTTTTTGACTTAGTAACTTTGCATAAATGTATCTTGTTGTACAAAATATTCAACAATCAGAGCCCTTCTTACCTACAAGATTTATTTATTTGTCAAACTTCAAATGCGTATACTTTACGTTCAGAATCTAATTTTGACCTTCGCCTACCAAAATACCGAACAAATTTGTTTAAAAATTCACTCCAATATTCCGGAGTTCATATTTGGAACAGTTTACCTTTAAATATAAGATGTGCACCAAGTCTGCCAGTTTTTAAACGAAATGTAGAAAAATATATCTTCATGAACAGAACTTGATTACCTCTGATTTATATCTTTTGCACATGTATATAATTTATGTATTGTAAAATCTTACTGATATTACATTTTTATAACTTTTTATGTCATCTTAATTTATTTTTTTTTTATCATTGCTATTTAATTTTGATTATCATAATCATCATATGACATCAAACATGTACTTGTATTTTAATTGACTTGCTTAGTTGTTTGTATATCTTTGCTAATTTGATGTAATATTGTTGTTGAAATTAGAAGGTCCTGGGGAAGAATAGTGTGTCACACTAATCGGGCCACCTTCTCTAAATAAAGTATTATTATTATTATTATTATTATTATTATTATTATTATATGTGGGCCTGTCAAGAAAAAGGGAATAGAAATAAGAAGAAAAAGAAATTTACAGAAAACACCTCGGTTGTCAATGCTTTTCTCAGGATGAAAATTCTAAATAATACCCTCAGCTAAATACTTATATATATACATTTACCAATCAAAGGGAGTGATGTATTTTTTTATTATTATTTTCTGATCATCTATTGTCCGTCGTCTGTCTGTTATACCTTTACTACTCGACTTCAAACCAGTTTGTCATGAAAGATACCGTTATATGGGAATTGGTCAGATTCCTCTGCTGATATGCGTAGGTTCCCTTGTTCACAATGACTTTTTGCTTGCTCTTTTCCTTTCCTAAGATATAGATATAAGTAAAACATTGGACACATATTAGAAACTTAGGACAACTTATCTTAAATGTCCTATTCATGACGATACATCAAAACTGATTTGTGGGGGACAATCGTTTCAGTGCTTTTTAGTGCCGATTAATCACACGTGCTTTTCGCGCGTGTTTTGTTGTTCTAAAAACATGATAATTTTATCTTTATGTAGGTATAAAAAAGAAAACTGATTGGAAAAGTACTCATCAATACGCTAGCCTACAGTACATGGTGAAGCTTTCCGGCAAATTTTCGTTTCATGCCATCATTAATATATATATGTAATGTGCAGAAATTAATATAGTATTTGTGAGCCATTTTACCCATTGAACATACTGTGATGATTGATATGCCTTTGGTGTCACAAAATTTGATTTTCTTACCAACATGACATCATTTTCCACACGTAAATGCCCTTAAATGTACAGTGTAAATTGACCTGAGAAGCATACCACTAAATCCTGTCTCGTCGCAGTTAAAAATCTGCGACGGTTTGTCTTTCAGTTCTAAATTCTTCACCGTATCCTCTAGGAGGGTGAAGTATTGTTTCATGACAGTCCAATTGGACATGCGGAAGCGGGCCTTATCCTGTGCCTCTGGAGTCCTCTCAGCAAGCAGGGGGTATCTGCGAAAGAAATTCCTACACCACTTGTCCGATGGGCCTTTATCTAGGTTAAGAAGTGTGTCACGCCCACTTTCCTTTACAATAGCGACGACATGGGACTGAAATCGACGATAGGTCTTCATTATAATACAGAAACACTCTTTCGTTACATATTTTATTCACAAGAATAGTTATTAGTCAATAAATATTTTTTCTCATATTTGACATTTTTTTATCTAGATAATATTGTCTAATTTTCTGTATTCATAATTAATTTAGCTTTCTTTGATTATGAATAATTGTAGTTTTTCCAATTGAAACTTTTGTTTGGTTGTATATGAATTATGTTGAATTTGTATACATGTAGATATGTCATTGGAATGTGCAGGTCTGGTCTAATGGTTTTGGTGAAGATTCCAGCAAACCAATTTTAATCAAACTTCTTCCTTGAGTGAAGGCAAAAGGAGGAAAATTCATATTCATAAGAAAGGATTCAAAATTAAGCGGCCAGATAGCTCAGTATAGATAGAGCGCCTACCCCTGCGAGACGATCATGAATAATTCATGAATTTCCTTGAATTTTTCATGAATTTAATTCATGAAATGTTCATGAAATGTTCATGAAGATCCTATGAACTTATTATTGGACATTTTCAAATCATGAATTTTTCTTCATGAAAGAAAATTGATGAATATTCATGAATATTTTTTTTCATGAATAATTCATGAAGAGTCATATTCATGAAGATTCATCATTTCAAGAATGTCCAATAATAAGTTCATAGGATCTTCATGAACTATTCATGAATAATTTGATGAATTTTTTCAGGAATGTTCATGAATGAATAAAATTCATGAACCATTAGCATTCATGAATATTCTTGCTTATTCGTAAACAAAAAATGAAATATTATTATTCATGTTTATTCATGAAAATGCATGAAGTCATGCTAAAAAAAGTAACAGTAGATGATTTATAATACAGCATCTTGAAAGATTTTACAGAAATGTTGTTTGTTTTCCAACCATGGCAACAAAATCTTTGTAAAAAAAATTAAAATAGACAATCTGACACATTAAACCATAGTAAATGAGTAATGTAGTTCATTCCAGGTAAAAGTATAAAAAAAAAAATCAATTCAAATGCAACTCTTTGCAGAATGTTTAACCTTACTTGGTCAAAAGGAGAGGGGGATCCTTCCTCAGCATGTTTCAAATTGTGTTTTAATGCCAGAAATTGAACAGTTTTTAATTCCAGTCTAGGAGAAAAGTTTGTTCAGCACCAGGGAAACAGTTTTCAGTGCTTTCAAGCAGTTCGAGCAGAGATGGTCAATTCAAAAATCCTTATTGTCTCTCCATGTGGAATTTCCAGAACTTCATCATTTGGATCCTTTGATTGAATATCATTCATATTTTCATTTCTTTTTTTTGTTTCTTTTTCAAGAGCTCAGATTTTTGTGCAGCCAGAGTTTCTTCTCTTCTGCTCCTCAACATTTGTGAACTGCTTCTCTTTTTCCTTCAAAAAGAAAGATTTTCTGAAAGTACCCATGATTGTAAAACATAAGACTTTTTTGTATTTTCTTGCATTTTAGATTCATTTAATTTTGCATTAGAGACACTTCCAAATTTAAACATTCTGAGTGGAATTTAAGCCTATTTTCTTGGACTGCCATTTTGTAGATCAATCAGGCCTATGAGAGTTTTGAGTCTCAGTCTATAATTAATGTATGTTATATGGTTGGATCCAAACTCAAAGCAAAGTTAGACAAAAATTGCATTAAAAAAAAGAGACATATTAATTTATTATAATGTGCTTTAATTAGTTGTTATTTTACAAATAGAAAGTAACATTTACAGACAGATTTCTGACTCAGTGATTGTCTCCATGTTTTGTCACTCACCAGTTATGAAGTAGATCGATCCTATATTTAGTCTTCCTTCTTCATATTCTGTTATTTTCTTTAAAAGTTGACAAAGATCAGTGACTGTACTGTTTATAGGACACACCTTGTGAGAGGGTGAAAAACTACAAATTACAAAAGCATAATAAGAATTTGACAAAATATCAAAATCATAAGCAATCATACAAAATTAAATGCGTAACTTTAACATGTGAGCTGAACAGGCCTATGCCTATCGCATGCTGGAAATGCGCAGTTTTACAAAACATTGTAATTGCAGAATTTAAACATGATAAAATATATTGCATAATACTGTTAGATACAGATGATCAAGTTAGATATAAATTCAAGTAAAACAATATAAAACTTACTCCTTAGGGAGGCCAACATCACCAAACTTCACAGCCAAAACGCCAGGCAAACCGCATGGCTACCATAATTAGTATAAACAGAATATTGAACCCGATCGAAATAAAATTATGCAATACGAAAACGGCACAGTAACTATGCAAATAATAGATCACAAATACTGATTCTTCCATACTACAAATTCCCACTTCCAACGTCTCGCGCGTTTTCAAGTTTGCGCCTATTCAAAAATGTACGGTAGAGCTAAGAAATACCTTAGTTTCGAATTTCCAAGATTTCTGTTTTAAAAAAATTACAAACACTATCTGAATAACATTTCACTGAAAATACAATATTTTATATCAAAATAAGTTTTATCAATGAAGAATTTGATTTTTTTACGTCATAAATTATACATGTATTGACTTTTAGTTTCGTATAGCAAGTATGGCAGCCCCCTATGACATGATAATAACAATCTCTCGCCCTCAGACAGAATATTCTGAGCTGTGAAGACGCATAGGAGAATTAAAACTACTGTACAAAATACGAATGTGGATCATAGATACTCTACAACCATGCAGTCTGTGCTCTATCATTTACGCACGAAGCAAGGGAAACTTTTGACATTTTAAGTGCACCAAAATTGAAATGTATGTAGCGTTTCGATCCAGGAATAATACGGTACAGTACAGACAAGTGATATACTTTTTAAGTTGTTAATAAATATACATAACGTTTTTTACGAAGCTCACAAAGTTCACTTTCCAGAATGTTTCATTTTCCAACAACTTGTTTAAAGTTTGATGTTAGAGAAAATTCGGTCGAACAAAGTTATGCGATGAAAAACGATATTAATTAAAGCACATTATGATGAATATAACTGTTTAATTTAAATTATGAAGAAACACAAGTAATGCATTTGATAAAAAATGCTGTCAATTGTGATGCAGTGTTTGTGTAATTAAAATCAAATAAAAACACTAAATGTTTAGAGATTTCATGATTTATTTTTTCAGATGGTGAAAGAATTATTATTAAACATATATTATACCAGGGGCTTGTTCAACAATTGCATGTGCATGCAAAAGTTGTATTATGAGAGTATTGAGTGTTTTCTGTCAATCATTTTTGTCAATTATTTTAGTCTTCATGAAAATTCATGAACATTCATAATACCTTGAACTCTACATTTTTTCTGTCTTTAAAATGAAAATAACCAATATTCATATATATTCATCATTTGTTCATGAACTACATTTTATGAATATATTCATGAATAAAGTTCATGAACCATCTTTATGAACCAGTCATGAACCAGTCATGAACACATCATGAATGTTCATGAACGATTCATAAAAGTTCCTGAAATCATGAATTTCACCTCGCAGGGGTAGCATGAGATCCTTGGAAACGTCTTTGGATCAAATCTTGGTGTGGCACATTACATTTTTTTCGCTTCCTAATTACATATGTAAGTCATATTAGGAAATCAATAGCCGGTGTTTATATACATTTTTTCAGTAAAGTAAATCATAAAAAGATGCATTAATGAGGAAATAAATGTATGTATTGACCCTAAAAGTGTGATCAGGAAAGATTTTAAGAGAAATTTTGTAGTTGAATTTCCTCCACATGTATAATACAGTGATAGGTCATCGGTGGGGAGGGTGTGTGTTGTGTTGGCCTTAAATCGCCTTGATCATATAATTTTTGGAAATTTATATACGCACCTTCAGCATTTTCCGAGTGATCGGAAATCCTCTGGTGCTCATATGATTTATATATTCCACAAGACTACTTTCTTCCTCCTCAGACAACATTTTAGATGGTCCTTTGCTTGATTTTTTGTATTTTTCTTTAACTTTGTCGCATATTGTAGACCTCGGGACATTATACTCCCTTGCTGCCTGATATGGATTTAGTTTTTTGCATTTTACATCTCCCGCCGCCTTCTCCATTGTCTCGGCAGAATACTGCCGTTTCGACATTTTCTCTAAAATGATCGGATGATTCATAAAAATGTTCTATCTAAACCTACCCCCCCCCCCCCACTCACACTTTAAAATTTGATATATATAGATCTATTTTATACACCTGTGAAACGTGAAGATCCAAGTTAGAATCCCCCCTTTCCAATCCCCTTAATTGTGTGTCACGGTCGTAAGAGGCAATTGAATGGAGAGAGAGAGAGAGGGGGGGGTTAGAATGAAACGGGAAAACCAGAGATCCCGTGTCACAGCAGGTGTAGAACGATAAAAGTCCCTCTATATACTACTATACTGTTCAGTTTCAGATGACAAACAATTTTCTGAGTAATACATAAATCCCCTATTGACCCTCAGTTACAACTTGAGTGCGTCATTAAAAGTGTAATAATTCGTCACCCTGAAAACGCGATCAGCAATGCGGATGTTGTGGAACATTATTAGTATAGACCTACATGCAGTACGAAAAGTTCACTATGTATCAATATGAAATTATTTCAAATTTGAATGTTAATTCAATTGAATTTTACAAAATTTGGTCTCTCTCTTTCTCTCCCCCCCCCCCTCTCTCTCTCTCCGGCGGCATATGTACATGGCAAGAAATAGGCCTAGCCCGTATTTTATACTTTTATCATGACAATATATGGTAGATGCCTACTAGATGGTAAGATCTAACCCCCACTAATCTGATTATATCCTACATTCACTCATGTAGACGGGTGAGCTAGGGAATCGTATTAATATATATATTTTTTTTTTATTCAGATGCCCCTTTCCCTTCCCACAGAATTTTTTGATAAAGGAAAGAAGATTTGTTTGAGCTTTTCCCACATTTCATTTGCTTATATCAAGAATATAAATGTTGACAGGGCTTTGTTTTTACCGAGGCTGACCCCTTGAAAAAAGATGGATGTTTCTTTTTTCACGCAATAATTTCATTTCAATTCATTAAGTGTGAATATCTAGCTACAAACGCTATTTTGGTAGGAATTTAAATGTAAACAGAACTTGAGAGACAAAAAAAAAACACACACATACACACACAAAATCCAGGAAATAATTTTGTTCTGTGCAAACTGCATAGGTAGACAATTGCAATCATTCCAGTATCAGCTCTCCCATAATTGAGAAAAAATACAGAAATTGTCTTTTCGCATCATGTTGAAGAAATACAATAAAATAAACAAACGCGTTACTGATCGCATCTGAGTTCACGAAAACGCGATTATAGGGGTGCTTTGAGATAAAAAATAGAACAAAACCTCAGTTTTAAAGTTGTGACGTCACTTCCCCACATCATAAACAAGAAGATTATTCGGACGAAACACTGTTTTTGTAAAGTATACCACTATCATATTATCTCTGATGTATGGTAAGTTACTCATGTTTACCTTTCTGTCTGCAGCAGACGATCTTTAAGAAAAATCTCGAAAAATCGCGTTTTAAACACACGAAATGACGTAATAGACGGTAACTGGTACTAGACGGCTACTGGTACAGTACCAGTATGAAACATCCATAGGTGGTTTAGATTCAAAATTGTAACAGTTCAAATCATGAACCCTAGGGGTTGGACAGGTCCATAATGAACGTTCAAATTTTTACATAGAAGTATAAATGAAAAGTCTTTAAAAATCTTCATTCTACTTTTTCTTAGCCAATGTGCTGAAGTAGAGCCATGTCGCCCCGAATTCTTTTCTTTGAGATTTCATATAGTTTTGAAAAAGAGAGAATCTATCCAAATGTCAATTTAATGACTATTCTTGCTGCTGCAAACTGTTATTTTCCTAGTCTGTCTCTCACTCTGTCTGTCTGTTTACTAGAGTTTCAAAAATATACAATTAAATTTAGTAATGTATGTGAAAGCCGTCATTATCGCCTTGTCATTGGTGTGTCTCTCTATTTAATAAAGCATAAGAGTTGTCTCGCATTGATCACAATGGACCAAAAATATTTTGTTTCAATACATTTGGTTTTATTATATCCTGCATCGTCCTTCAAAAAAAATAATTATGTTCCCCAAACGAAGTTGGGGAACATATTGTTTTTACTCTGTTTCTTCTTCTTATTATTATTATTAGGGTTTTCCGTCTTCAGCGGAAGACCCTTCTATTATTCTTCGGTTTCTTTTTCACTTTTATTATTAAGGTCTTCCGTCTTCAGCGGAAGACCTTCTTGTTACTCTTCGGTTTCTTTTTCACTTTTTTTCTTACCTATTATTATTCTTTTCTTCTTACCGATTTTGTGCTCGCGATTTCTTGAAAACAGCTTGATGGATTTTAATGAAACTTTCAGGAGTCATGTAACATTACTTGAACTTGATTCATTTTTTTCGTTTCGATGACGTCACTTCCGGTCCGGAAATATTGTTGATTTTCTGATTTTTGAAGGGTCAGGTTGTCAGCGAACGTTCTAAAAATGGCTATAGATAGAAACGTGAAAATTTCAGATATGATAGTCCTAAGTCTATAGATGTGCAAAATGTATATTATTTTTATCGGAAGTGCCGCACGTCGGCGCTCGCTATGGCCCGAAAATTGTCATATCGCGAATTTCAAAATTTTTAACACCTTTTCTACGACATCTTTTTACCTGGAAATATTTTGATAAAACATATAGAACAAAAGAAGTGTAGAATTCCAAGATCTTTCAAACGAGATCTCGGAAAAAGGGCTGACCTCTAAAATAAGGGATCAAGAGGGGCCGAAGGTTTTTTCTTTATATCTTAAAACGTATTGAGAATTTGTAATACGTCAAAGAAGCAAAGTTGTTCAAAATGTCAAGATTAATCTATTAAAATCGTCAAAATACGTCCGGCGTCGTCACTTCCGGTCAAACCGGAACTAGTCGAAAAATGCGTATTTTTGCCGTTCTTGACATGTTTTTGGGTAATATATGTCTCTGTTAGCATAAAAATTAATTTTCCGCCCGTCGTTGTCACTTCCAGTCAAACCGGAAGTAGCACAAAATGGCTCATTTTTGCATTAATTAACTTAGCTCCAGAGGATTCAAAGCATTTTGGGCGTTAGTTCTCATTTTTGTTAAAAATGAAGCTACTTCCGGTCAAACAAGACGGAAGACCTACTCGTTGCTTTGCAACGAGCTTTGCTCTAGTTATTATTCTTTTTTTTCTTACCGATTTTGTGCAGAAGATTTCTCGGAGATGGCTCGATCGATTTCGTTCAAATTTTCAGAATTTATGTGTTTCTATGTGAAGTTTGTACCGGCAACTCGATTTTGAAAAATTCACTTCCGGTTGGAAATTATCGCCCTTAGATCGAAATTTAGAGGACCTACTTGTCCGTAAGTAAACTCAAAAACGGCTCAAGCTAGAACGCTGAAATTTTCAGGGATGATAGAGGACATGTTGCCATGTTCCACAAGTATCACGATATTTTCCGGAAGTGCCTACTATGGAAGCTCAGTGGGGGTCAAAATTTAGGACACAAATCATGAGTGATTTTTTGAGACATTTTGCATCATATCTTTTAAAATATAATTATTTTGTTAAAACATACTGAAGAACATTTGTGCAAAATCACAAGATCTTTAATATGATACCATAAAAAAATAGTGCTGAATCACCACATTAAGGACCGAAAGCGGCCAAAAGTCTTCAATCGATAATTCTTTAGCAGTCAGTATTTTGTTATACATTAGTGAAGCAAAAATGGTCATCTCAACAATCGTTATTATTCTTTTTTCTCCTTACAAAATTTGTGCAGAAGATTTCTCGGAGATGGCTCGTTCGATTTGCTTCAAATTTTCACTGTCGATGCGATGTCATCTGAAGTTAGTTCTGGGCGGTCATTTTTATTTAAATTCACTTCCGGTCTGGAGTTATTGCCCTTTTATTAAAATTCAGAGGACCTTCTTGTCCGTCCATTATCTCAAAAACGACTTGAGCTAGAGAGTTGAAATTTTCAGTGATGATAGACGACATGTCCCCATGTTACTACAAGTTTGGATAGTTTCCGGAAGTACCTAGTATGGAAGCTCGGTGGGGTCAAAATTTAGGATACGAATAATGACATTTTTTGGTGACATTTTGCATCATATCTTTTGAAATATAATTATTTCGTTAAAACATACTGAAACATTGGTGCATAATCACAAGATGTTTAATATGGTACCTTGAAAAAAGTGCTGAGTCATCACATAAAGAACCGAAAGCGGCCAAAAGTCTTCAATCGATAATTCTTTAGCAGTCAGTATTTTGTTATACATTAGTGAAGCAAAAATGGTCATCTCAACAATCTGAAATTACATATTATGAATTTTATGGTGTATGATGCATAATTAGGGGCTACAAGGGGCCAAAATGCCAAATCTTTGTTGCTTTATATCTCGAAAGTGAGAAATATTTTGGATAAATAATATTGAACAAAAAATGTTCAAAATAATGTTCTGAACAGTATTCAACTTTCAATTTTTCGCTAAACGTCCCCAATAGGGAGTCGAAGGGTTGGCCCCTAAATATTTCTTTTGCAAATAACTCAAAAACGAAAAAGAATCTCTGAATAATTGTTGAACAAAAATTGTTCCAAATCCTCAGAGCTTCAAGATGAAATTAAGAAAAAGGGGCTGTGAGCTTAAATTAGGGTCAAGAGGGGCCAGAAGTTTTTAATGGATAACTCTTCATGAGTTAATATTTTGTTATACATTACTGAAGCAAAAATGTTTATCTCAACCATTTACAACTATATATTATGATTTTATGTCGAATGGTACATAATTAGGGGCCAAAAGGGGCCAGAATGCTAATTCTTTGAAACTTTATACCTCGAAAGTGAGAAATATTTTGATAAGTAATATTGAACAAAAGATGTTCAAAATCATGTTCTGAACAGTACGTAGGTAGGTAAGGCTACAACCAAATACTCTACTTGCCTAAATGATATGACGTCATAGTAAGCTATATGACGTGAGGCTTAGGGATAACAATTTCTTAAAATCGATATCTTAGATTGATTTGAGGTCGTAAAAATGAATCAAAATATGCACAGG